TGAGCCAAAGAAACTTTTCTTTATAAATTATGCAGTCTCAGGTATTCCTTTATAGCAATGCAAAACAGACTAACACAAATGGCTTATCTGATCTCCATTTTACCAACATTTTTTAATTTCACAGTTTATATGCATCCTTATAATGGGAAATACTTTTTCTTCTTTTTGGGGAGCAGTATTGGTACAGTTTCTATAGCCAAGAAGTATCCAGATGCCTTAAGGCCCTGTAATTTTTTGCATATTATATCTTCTAAGCTTTTTTGGGAGCTGGGGCTGGCATTTTATAGCTGGTAAAAGTGAAGAGCTAAGAGTATTAACTCAAAGGTGAAAGAAAGGACAGTTAATGAACCTTGCTCCTAACTATAATAATAGTTTAACATTTTCTCTTCTTTTTAAATATAGATGAAAGGTACTTTGTTTGCTTCCTTCTTTCCTTACAACAAACATATATTAAACACCTATTGTGTTCTGGGCTTTGCGCTAGATACTGTGTGTACGAAGATGAAGTAGCTCAGAGTCTAACAAAGATAGGCCTACAAAGAGATTATTGTATGATGGTAGAGGTACTGTTCAGCAGTAACCACAGTTACCATGTTCTAGACACTGTACTATGTGCTTTACGTGGGTTATTTTATTTAATACATAAAACAACTCTGTTCAGGTAGATACTAATATCGTCTCCATCTTACGAATGAGGATAATAAAGCCAACAGAGGTTAGGTACTTGCCCAAGATCACATATCCAGAGAGTGGCATTGCTAACTGTGTTTGTATTTTAATTACTACAGGATGCTACTGTAATAGCAATATAAACAAATAGCTGTAGGAGCCAGAAAGGGCTAAAGGGGACTTGGCTTCCAGGCAGTCCAGAGATGCTTTATAGAGGAGACCACATTTGACCTCTACTTTGAAAGAATAGAGGATATTCACTGGGTGGAGAAGAGTGGAAGAGCATTCCAGGCTGTCAAAAAAAGATATGCTAAGGCACAGAGGTGTAAAAGGGCATGGCAAGGTTGAAGAAACAGTTCAGGATCTGTAAGAAATCAATAGACCAAAAGCTGGATGTGGAAGATTTGCATGCTTCAACAAGGAGCTTGGCCTTTATCTTCTAAGCTGCAAAAAACTAAGCAAGTAGAATACAAAGTGTGTGTGTGTGTGTGTGTGTGCACATGTGTAAATAATGGTTACAGCAATGTAGAATGCTGGCTAGCATACAAGGTTTACCCATATGCTATCTGAGATTCTAGTTCTGGGGACTAGAACTAGATGCTGAGAGGGCAAATAAAACTAGGTAATAAGGGAAGTTTTGTTTATGTTCACACCTTATCATGCCATGTTATTGTGTTAAGCATTTATACATGTATTATTTCGGTTGATCCTCACAACAACCCCAAGAAGTTATTTCTTTCTCTATTTTGCAGAGGAGAAATCTGATTGTTAAGAAGGTGATCTATGGTCATATATGTGATCACTAGCTGAGCTGAAATCTAAACCACCCAAGTCTGTCTTCCTCCAAAGTCCATGGCCTTTCCACAGAGAACATGTTCAAGGACACTACGATTTAATGGTTCCATTCATTCCAGTTTGCCTTCACTGAATTTAAATAAATTGCCTTCAAGAGCCAAAGTATTAAAGCAGCAAACGGACATGATAAAATAAGGGTCACAAAACAGATCCATAAAATGCAGGACTAGTTAAAGCTCTTTTTAAAAATATGCTTTATATTTCACCTTTGTTGGCATATTGTCATCCTCCTAAAAGGGAAATTTCTACAGATGAATATGTCATTTGCATTAGTTGTTTTGGAAACTTCCCAGAAAACTATGATTTGAATAAAAGGATGTGGTATTAGGGCAAAAATTACACTTAGCTTTACATAGCACCCAACTCCCAAAATCAAAGTTATAACCAAAATGATTTTGAATAGGTTTTGTGTATTTATCTGCATATGTATGTACACACAGACAAAAGCATTTGTATGTGCACGTACACACAGTGTCTGTTTAGGGAAACCATACTAGCCTGCTGCCCTTAAGACCTGTTTGCAAGAACATATTCCTGTGACTGAATGTCCTTGATACCACAATATATTAAGTTTCACATTGCTGTGACAAAGTGCCATTACACTTCTATTATCATTCATTAAGCTTCACAAATGGATTGGGGAAGATAATCCACATGGTGTAAGTGCCATGTAACTGTTAGTTGCTCCTGTTGCTATTTTTGTTACTCACCATCACTACCGTTATCATTATTTTTCAAATAGACTGACATTAATACTACCAGGGGTAGACCCTAACACCTTGTTTGGAGGGTGTAGCCATAGCAGGAAACTCATATGCCTTTTCCCAAAGAAGTATCTTCTTTTATCTGAAAAGGGCATTTTCTTCAGATAATCAGATTGGCTCAATCAAGCCAATTATCATTCCATGATTTGATTTCCCTCTTTCAATTTTTCCCCTCTTCTTCCTTTCTTTCAATGAGCATCTTTTAACCCTGATGTTTACTTCATCTATTTATTCAATAAATATTTACTGGGTACCTACTCCAGGCCAGACCCAGTTCCAAATGCAGTGAATAAAGCAGACAAAAAGACCTGCCCTCAGGAAGATGCTATCTATTGCATTGGTCATGCCACACGTCAGATTGTCAGTCAACCTGAGGGCACATGTCAGACATTCTTCCAGGACCCAGGATTGGCAACAGGTGAAGAGTGGGGAGGAGAAAAGCTCAGGTCTCTAGACAGCCCCCAGTCCCTACCTGCACCCTCCTGCCACACCAGGATGCCAGAGGGGAAAAAAAATTTCCCTTCTTGTCATGTTCACCTTTGTGTGATCCCCTGGGTTGTTACTGCCGCTGGAGTCTCCCAACTCTTGCAGTTGCGGGTGTGGCTCTTACTTTCCAACCAGCAGATGCCTCATACAAAGTACCTAGGATACAAAGCTTTACCTGAGGAAAAATCTGAAGATTTGAAGGAACTGAGGGCATTTTATATGAAAATCAGGACTTCTGGCTGCAGGCCCTGTGCTGGCACCTTCTTATTAGGTTATAGCCCATGCTGCAGTCTAGGAATCCATCCACACACAACCCACGTCTGCTGAGCGAGAAGCCCACGTCAGCAATGCCTGGAGGGCACTACCAGGGAGACTGAATTTGACCTACTTCATACTCAGATTCCATCTCTGTAGGATCTTAATGAGCTTTGTTCAACCAAATCTTCTCAGTTCCCCTAAAACTTAAGGAAGGAAACAAGATTCAAAATGATCCATTTAGTATATCATTTTCTCATGCAATGTTGATTAAAGGATATAATGAAAGGATATTTCATTATAAGAGCCAGAATGGAAACTGTCTAAAAAATAGGTAAATTAAACTCTTAGAAAATACAAAAATGTTATTTTGGCCAGTGATTCAGCCTCGTCACTTCAAATCAAGTCTTTTACTAAGAGTAATAACATATGAAGAACATGGATGTTTTGAGTTGCATTTCTTATTTTCTCTTTCCTCCTTCTGGTGGAGGTGACTAATGAACAATGAAATGGCCAAGAGATAGGCAGGAAGCCACAGAGGTGAGGAGGAGGAGCCAAAGATAGGAATAATCCACAAATAGTTGCCAGGTCTGAAACAATGAAGAATTCAGTGTATTTCCACTTTACAAGGTAAGGGAAGAGGAAAATAATAGTTATATTAGCTTAGGTAATTACAGTAATTAGTAGTTGCATGCTTTTAATAGGCCAGGCCCAGTGCCTGCACAATATTTTATTTCTATGATCTCTCAGCAGTTCTGCAAGGGTGGCATTATAGTTATTTCAAAGAAGAAAAATTGAAGACTTAGAGTGTTCAGTAAGTAAGTTGCCCAGGCCCACATAGCAAAGTTAGCCTGGATTGGAACCCAGATTCAATGCCCTTCACTTTCACCATAGGTCTCCTCTGTACCAGTCCTTAGAATCTAGTGCAAAACAGTACAAATTCTCCAAATGGGAAAATGTTAAAACATCAGTTTAAAACATATTAAATAACATTCTAGAGGAATATATAGGATATCATTGGCCTATGGAATGTAAACCTTAGTGTACATAAAAGTTATCTAGAGAGCTTGTTTAAATGGCATATTCCTCGGTCCCACCCATGGAGATTGAGATTCAATCTGTCTGGGACTCCAGGAAGTCTAGGAATCTACATTTTCAAAAGGCATCCATGTGATTAACGGAGGCGATCCTCAGATCATACTTTGACCTTACCCCAAATTGTGAATTCTCAATGTACTATTCCTTTGCCTCAACCAGTTCATTCTAACGTATATGAAGCTTTGTCAATGAGATAGTCTAGTGTAGCTGAGAAAAAAAACAAAAACAAAAAACAACACTGGCAGAAAGAAGACTAGGGTTATAGGTAAAACTCTGTTGCTAACAAGTTGGGAAAACTCAAATAATTTCTTTGAATTTGGTGGGCGTTTGTTTCCTCACATGTAAAATGAAGTGTTTCACACACCTATGATTTTATTTGGCTGAAGTAAGCCAAATTTTTAAATAACAATCTATAGAGCCTAAACATCTCAATGGTGACATGTAGGAAGCAAAGTCTACTTTATTTATAAATTTGTAATATCAACAAAGTGCTTCCAAATATCATGGGTTTGGGAGAAGGAAATGGGAATCCAAAGATGGAAGCAGATATAACTTAAATTATATCATTAAGGCAATTCTGTTGTTTGCTTAGCAATGGATTCCTCAATCTGGTAGTTGCACCTGTAACTAAGAAAGTTTCAAGTATATGGTATTTCAAATCTTAAAACTCAAGTCTTTATTCATCTTAAGAAACAAAAAACAAAATCCTACATGAAATTAAAAAATTTAAAAAGGCAAAAAAATCAAGTTTTTGCATAATCATTCATTCTAATTTTCAACAGTATCTTGAAGTTCAAAGCTATTTTGAGCTTGTTTTTAAAAAACTACAGTACCCCTTCATTTATATTAATACACCACTAGATGCTAAAAGCACAGGTTAAGAATTTTTTATTTACATCTTAGACAAAAATACTCACAGTATGGCATATTGGGTGGTTAGTGTTCATGGAGACAAACTTAATGAAATGAGTCCCACAAATGAAGTCGCAAGTTATAAAGGAGAAGGAAGGCCATTGATGCAAAAAATATATAGTTCTAAATCAATGAGGAAAACCACAAAGTGAACTTGGTGCACCTTCAGAAAATTGTGTGTATATTTACCTCCCTTGAAATATTCCTCTTTGCTCTGTGACGTATTAACACCTTCCCAGGAGCCACTAATTTGCTTCTTCAAACACACTAATTTGGCAGCAGAATTTGGTTGCAGAAAGAGACAATAAAAAGATGTAATATTACATAGGAAATCTGAATCACTAGAAACAACAGAAACAATTCACTCAATTATGAACTAAGTTAAGATGCACTACTTACAGCAATGTTGAGAAAAACATTAATTTCACATTTAGATAGTGTGTAATATTTCCTCCAACATTTTGCAGTATAATTTAACAGCTCTTATTTAAAAAGGAACTTTTCAACTCAATCAATGCCAGTTTTATCTCCAAAGCTTTCAATTATACCACATTCCCAAAAGCATTCTATCAAGTAAACTCAGTGCATTCATAATCTTACATAGCCTGTACAGCATACTAGAGTCATTTAGGGAAGTGTACTGAGATTATTTTGCATGTATCACAGGGATAAATATACTTTTTCTATGTATTTTCTAGCTATTTCTTTAGCAAGATCTTGGAGAGTTCATAAATTGACTTTGACTTCAGTTTATGATTTTGCAGCATCCAAGAAAGATAAAATGTTTTCTGCTGCAGCTAAGGAGGATAATATTGCTACAGTCTATTTACTTATAAAGTAAGCTCAGAAGTTAAAATGAAAACATTACTGTTTTAGGTCAAAAATTCTAAGAAAAACAATTTTTAAAATAAGTATACTAATCTTTAATAACATCCATGAATTCTATGCCTTAAAAAACCAAAGGAACTGGGTGTTTTTCTGACTTAAAAAAAAATTTCAGCCAATAACCTCTAATTCACACACAACCTAAAATATGAAACATCAGAATCAAACCACTGACAAGCCATCAAAGGCCAGTGAGGCACCGGGCTCTGTAGATGCTTAAGCACCTTCCTCCTTCACATTTTTCTGCATCTTCTAAAGTGAGAAAACAATTCTGTGAGCCTGAAAGGGGCTTGTGGAACTGCAGAGCTCTCTTTACCAAGACAAATTAGATGAGTATGTCCCCAGTGGACCAAGGACTTCTATAATTATGACTTTCAGAAATCACTGGAATGCAACTTGGCCTGCAAAATTTGCATTTAATTACCTAATTTCTTAGAGACTCTGGCCCACTTAAACAATTTTGGATATAATTATGGTCTAAGGATATTCTATAATGTTGAGAGAAACACAGAGACAGGCCTCTGTTGGTAATGTGTCTATTTTGTAAATTGGTAGACGAAGCAATTCTGAAGAATAATTCTGAATAATTCTGGTGTCTGAAAGGCCAGAAGAAAGAAGAAGGACTATCAAAGTAGATAAAATGTATTAATTATAATGGCAGCTAAAATTTATCAAATTTTTGACATGAATGATCTTGGTTAATCCTAATGGCAATCCTTTGAGCTAAGGATAAGTATATATTCTGTTTTACAGAGAAGTAAACGGAGGCTAAAAGAAGTTAAGCAGCTTGTCTAAGGATTCACATCTGGTAATAGCAGAATCAGCTTTTTTTTTTTTTTTTAAGACAAGGTCCTGCTCTGCCATCCAGGCTGAAATGCAGAGGCATGATCTTGGCTCACTGCAGCCTCAACTCTCTGGGTTCAAGTGAACCTCCTGCCTTAGTCGCCCAAGTAGCTGGGACTACAGGCGCTTGCCACCGCACCCAGCTAATTTTTATTTTTATTTTGTAGAGACAGGGATCTCCCTATGTTACCCAGGCTGGTCTCGAACTCCTGAGCTCAAGTGATGCTCCCTTCTTAGCCTCCCAAAGTGCTGGGATTATAGGCATGAGCCACCACACCCAGCCCAGAATCAGAATTTAACCCAGGCATCTGGGTTCCAGATTTGACATGTTTAAAAAGTATGATATACTTACTACCTTCGAGAAGTGAAGAATAGAAAGGAAATTCCTCTTCTGTTTCCGTAAGTCCAACTCTACAACAGTTAGCTTATCTCTGCCTATGCAACATTAGTTGCCAAGGTAATGAGACAATCTCCAAGGTAAGCATCATAAAATGTTCAAATGAGATTTAAATAAGGAACTTATATTTTTAGTTTATGCTACATTGTGCTTTACTAAAGGCAATTTATTTCATTCAATACTTCAGAAGCCATTCTATTAAGTTTGGAATGTGAAATTATCATTGAAGGCTTACTTGCCCTATTCAATCTGTTACTCTTTTTGATAGATATTTCTCTAGCACTGAGGTTCTAGAATTCTGGGGCATGGAATTACAGCCTCTGTGAACACATTTCAAGGTGTAAATCTCCTTGCAAAGGGTTGGGGAAGACAGGGCAACTCTCTACCTAAAATTTGGGGGAACTGGCCATAAGACAAATAGAATTCTCATTCATATGACTCTGACTGGGAAAATCTCACTGCCTCAAGGTGCTTCGAATAAACTTGCCAACTCTGACTAGGGAGCTTGGGATATCCCAGCAGCACTTCTTCAGCAGTGGGACCCTTGCAGTCCACCCCTCACCTTTAAGGACCTGTGTTTCTCAGCCTGAGAAGAGATGCTAAGGAATCCCAGGAACCCTGTGCAATTCCTAAAATCTTAGGGGCACAGTTAAACAGTGCACACTATTTTCTTCCCCAATCTTTCTATTCTGAATTTTGGGGTTCTGTGTTATCTGCAATCATGCAGATCTCAAGCTTCAAAAAGTGACAATGACCAATTTCTCTTATGATCCATTCATTTAAAGCTGTGGTCAAAACAGACAAAGAAATTACTGAAAAAGGCTAGAAAGCTTAAGAATGTTTCAGAAATTATGTAATATATTAAATTGCCTAAAAGTGCATGTGTCTTTTCAAAAGATAGCATCCTTGTTTGTAATCACATTCTTATTGTCTAGACACAAGTTCAGCCTATATTTCATGAAACATTTTTATTATTTCCTTATCTGGCAATGGTTTTCTTGAACCTGTGGTCAGATTAGAAGGTTGGACAGATGGTACCTTGAATTTAAATACAATGTTTGCTCTGCCTAAGAAGAGTATTGACTATAAAAGTCACAGGCTTCGGACCATTTCCTGTGGGATTTTTCCACTATCCTTCCAATTAGTCAAAATGATGTTTCTCTAAACATGATCATTCATTTTTCTCTGGAGGGTTGCCTTCCATCCCATGCAAGAAAGATGATCCTGGAAAATAAAGGAAGCTTTCTACTCTCCGTGCCCCGGTCCCGTGCAATATTTATGATTAATTGCAGTCCCTATGAACGAATGACGAAAGAAAAAAGCATTCAGTTTCCTTGTTCTCCTCACATAAAAAAGCATTTGTTGCAATTTGGGTCCCAGCCAACTTTCATTGTTTAGGCAATAATTAGTCAAATTATAGCAATCACTAACAATCATAACAGAAATCATATAATTGTAATTTAGACCAATGACCTTGGACTTATGAAAATAGGATGTGGGGTATTTAATTGCATAATGTTCCACTACAACGCTATACCTATAAACTCTAGGTTTTTATATTTGCTGATTAATTTACAATACCCTGAACCTAAACATTTCTGAAAGTGACCAAACAATGTAAGTTCCACAAAAGATCCAAATAGCATACTGTTGCAAACAAACTGAGCCATATTAGAAGTAAAATAAGGCTCTCATATAAATAATGACTTCAGATATTTCATAAATGTGAATTGATTTGCAGCAAACACTTAAATTGAACTGTTTCAGAAAATTGGGTCTAGTTTAAATTATTGAATGATTATGGCAAATCAACATATTTTCTAATCAGAGAAATGCTGAATCTGTTCAATACCTATCTCAGTAGAGTTCACCTTAAAAAACAGAATGGATTACACAGACAAAAACAAACCTCAAGTTGGATACCTCCCATCAACAAAACGATGAATAAAAGACTCTTCCAGCACAGTAGGCAAATTTCTCCTTTAATAAGTAGCCAGGAAAAAAGCAATATTTCAATGTGTGCTTTCCTTCCTCTAAGGGAGAAGGTTTCACTATGACTTATTTTACTTCCTTTTGATTCTGTCCTATTTTCTTGGCTCTCACAGACAGCTCCAGTAGCAACATGACAATACCACTTTGCACTTGCCGAAAGCGCCTTTTCTCTAAAACTCTCAGCTGTGGTCTATGCGAGGAGAGTATAAAACAGGGGAAATGATGCAAACATTGAAGTTCATCCTCTCGTACAAACATTTTGAGAAACACAGAATCATCTTAACCCAAGGCTGGGAATGAGGGACACCCTCCAAAAACAAAACAAACAAAAAATTTTTTCCCAGAGTTCATGCTTAGTATCCTTGAGGCCTCTGGCAAGATTTATCATTATCTCAAGCTCTGGCTCAGACATAAAATAAAGCAATGTCCATTTCCTTATGAGGATGTGAAGAGTAAGTAGATTGCCTTTTCTAAAGTAAAAGTTGGGGGTAAAAAAAAAATTAGATTGCTGGAATTCTAAAAATAAGCCTTAAGTGGGTACTACCTAGAGAGAATCAATCTTGAATGCGTGTTTCTGGAGTAGGGAAAACTCATATATCTATATAAAAAGAAAAGAAAAGAAAAGATTTACTTGTCCAGGGAAGAAACACCTCACAACAAAAAATGTTTCAACATAAAAGTTTTCAAAAGATTGTTAATGCTGTCTCTCCATATGTGTGTGTGTGTGTGTGAATGTGTGTGTATACACACACATCTATATCTTTCTATACAGTATTTTTTGATGGAAGAAAGAAAACTTTCTTTACAAATATCAGAGCTATCTGATGTATATTTAAGGTTATTACTTAAGGTTATCATCATAAGACAGAGATTTTGGACTCACCAGACATCTGATGAGTGAGTGCCTAGATTTCAAAGATTGGTGCTCACCCCCTTGCTCTTAGCATTTATAATGACCTTCAAAACTCACAGCGGTTTCCTCTTCACAGTTTGTCAAAGATACAAATAATTTATTTCAGAGTTTATCAGCTAATTAGAAGAGTTGGTGTGTGGGGGTTGAAAATTTCTCATCCCAGGTTTTGAATTTAATGAACCTGAACCACTCCCCTATTATAAGAAAACACAGGGAAGAAATAAATCTACTGGCATAATCAGAAAGAGCTTTTCTTACAACTATGAATTTCTTTTAGATTAAAAAAATATGACTTTTCAAAAAGAGATGACAAATCAGTATATATAGTACCATTCTATTTTTGGTTTGAAAAAATACACATTATACAAGTCAAATACAGCAACATATAGAAGGATAATATATGATGGCTAAGTGGGATTTATCCTGGGAATGCAAGCCTGGTTTAACACTGAAAAGTTAATTAATATAATTTGCCACATCAACAGACTAAAGAAGAAAAATCACATGATCATCTCAATATTCATTCAAAAGCATTTGAGAAAATCCTACATTCATTCATGATACTCTCAACAAACTAGAAAACAAATAGAAATTACTTAACCTTTATTGATTAATAAAGGGTGTTTACAGAAAACCCTATGGCTAACATCATATTGAATGGTGAAAGACTAAACGCTTTCCCCCCAAGAACAGAAACCAGATAAAGACTCTCACCACTTCTATTCAACATCATACTGAAGGTCCTAGCCAATTCAATAAGGTAAGAAAAAAAAATAAATGCATATAGATTTGAAATAACACAATTTTCTCTGAAGATAAATGAATACATCTAAAGATGTTCAATGATATTAGTTATTGGGGAAAATGCAATTGAAACCACCATATTATATTCCTTCATATCTATTATAATTGTTTTTTAAAAAATGATCATACTGAGTGCTGGTCAGGGTGTGGAACAACTGAAACTCTATACTTGCTGGTGGGATATAAATGGTACAGCTACTCTGAAAAACAGTTAGACATTTTCTTATAAAATTAAACATGTACTTAACATATGATCCAGCAATCACATTCCTATTACTCAAGAGAAATGAAAACTTATTTCCACACAAAACCTTTACTTGATTGTTGTTGTGGCTTTATTCATAATTGCTAAAAACTGGAGACAATGCAAACGTTCTTCAACTAGCAAATGGAAACAAGCTGTGGAAAATGTATACAATGAAATATTACTCAGCAATAAAAAGAAGTGGACTACTCATATGTGCAATAACATGGATGGATCTCAAATGCTTTATGCTAAGTGAAATAAGCCAGACTCAAAGGGCTACATCCTGTATAATTCCACTTCTGGGATGTTATAGGAATGGAAAATAGATTGGTCACCAGGGCGCTGAAAGTAGGAATAAGAGCAGGGCTTGACTACGAGGGAAGCAAAAGGAATATTTTAAGGGTGATAGAACTGTTCTGTATCTTGATTGTGCTGATACTTGCACGACAGCATATATGTGTTTATCTAAACTCATAGAATGGTACCCCAAAAGTGTGAATTTTACTGTAAGTAAATACAGTAAACTTCAAAAGTGAATTAGCACACGCAGATACAAACATAAAAGGATGTATGCCAAAAAAACTAATGGTGATTATCTCTTAGAGATGGTATTATTCATGATTTTAATTTTCTTCCTTGTCCTTTTCTGGAATGTTAAAATGATTCCCAATCAATAGGTATTATTTCTGTTTCTATGAGGAAAATAAAGTTGCATTCCTTTCATATATTGAATGTGAGCCTCCAGACCTAGTGAAGATGCCAACTGCCTCTTGGAGACTCTTGGATACCAATTTCCCTCCCCTTTTTCCCTCCTGTCCTATATCCTTTATAATGGTTTCAACATATCAATCCGTCAGTTCAAGAAGCTGTAATTGTTGCCAAATGACTTTTCATGCAACCCCCAATTTTTTTTGCTGCCATTTGAGTCTATTTCTGACATAGTAATAAGATTAGGCAAAGATTTATTGAGCCCTTATATGTGCTAGGCACTGTTAGGTGTTCTCCATGCAATATCTTATGCATCTCTAACACAGCAACTTTAAATGTTGTACTTTTTCTGTCCTCAATTTATAGATGCTCATGGTCACAAGCTAATAGAGACAGAAGCTGGATAATTTCAGAGTCTAAATTCTCAACCACTGTAGTGAAGTGAGGTGGTTAAGGACCACAGCATCTGGAGGAAAGCTGCCTGGATTCTAAAGCTTGGCTCCCTTTAGTCGTGGGGTCTTGGGGAAATTACTTCACTTCTCTGAGTCTGTTTCCTGAGAGTAAAATAAGGATAATAGTAGTAACTACTTCATCAGTTGGTTAGAAGGATTAAATTATATTATACATGTGAAGTGCCTAGTACAAAATAAGTATTGTCATTAATCCCATACCCCAGCCCCAAGTATGCTTTTTTCTTTGGGTGTAGCAAGAACCTTCAGCTTCCATCAAGGTGACTTTTTAACTGTTCAGTAACAGCACCAGGCTCTTCTTGACTCAGGATCACTGGTGTATTATCCCCTCAGTCCAGAACATCCTCCCTTCTCTTTTTCACCTTCTGTCTTACCCTAGCCTGCAAGGCTCAGTTCAAGTTCTCCTCCATCCAAAACAACATTGCTTCATATGCTTCTTCCTAAGTGGTCACAAATAGTTTCATCGGCATTAATTTTGTCTTTGATTAAAATGGTCATCCAATAAAGTAGTTAGTAGCCTCATGTAGTTATTTAAACTTAAATTGATTAAAATGAAATGAAATTAAAAATGTGCTTTCTTGCTGGGTGCGGTGGCTCATTCCAGTACTTTGGGAGGCCGAGGCAGGCAGATCACCTAAGGTCAGCCTGGCCAACATAGTGAAACCCCGGCTCTACCAAAAATACAAAAATTAGCCAGGCATGGGGTGGGCACCTGTAATTCTAGCTACTCAGGAGGCTGAGGCAGGGGAATTGTTTGAATTTGGGAGGCAGAGGTTGCAGTGAGCCGAGATGGCACCACTACACTCCAGCCTAGGTGACAGAGCAAGACTCCGTCTCAAAACAAACAAACAAACAAATAAACCACTTTCCCAGTTACGCTAGCCACAGTTCAAGCGCTCCCACGGCTAGTGTCAGCTATATTGGATAGCATCACTATTGAGCATTTCCTTCGCTATAGAAAGTTCTATTGAGTGCTTGTCTAAAATGTAAACAAGGGCAAGAACTATAGCTAAAGCTCTGGAAACCCAGCAGTGCACAACCCAGTGATTACACAGGAAGAACTTCGTTGAGTATTTGTGTTTTGTATTATTGATTCACCAAGGGGTTTCACATTTGATGGAAAACCTAATGTGGCATGATCTTTTGACCTAGGCTACAAATTACTGATTGATTAAATCATTGACCCAATTTTAACTTTGGTCTTGGAGTACCAAATTTCCAGAAAGCCAAGCCCATCTTTCCTTTTTAGGATAACGCAATAATTATTCTGTCAATGACCCCTTCAGTTAGGAGCTGAAGTCCTCT